ATGCGGTTGTATTCTCTTCACATGACAAATGGCCATGAGAACATATTCTAATTTTTCGTGAAATCACCACCTTTGGGTGTATGAACCACTAAGATTAGTCATTTCTCAAGCACATGCTATACATGTACCCCTCCATGAACCAATACAAGATCACCTCCTTTGGGAGTATGATCATGCAATAGAACAGGAGACATCCCACCACAATATGAGACCGATATTTCTCAAACCCAGTCAAGTGTGCCACTTTGGCGGTCACTACCCAACTGAATCTTTGAAAATCTCTCATACCAGGGATATGTACTTTATGTATCACATTCACTATATACATGTAATGCTAGACGTAAAGATAGGGGCGTATATCTCTAAAATTACATGCCATGCTAATTATATTGTTCCATTCATTGATAGACAATGAATTATACTCTACATAGTCCTTATGTGGTGATATACATGTGAGCTACCATATGTATTTCCGAAACCAAAGAGAAATACAAGAAAATACGCAAAATACCCTAAAAATACGAGTATATAGGGTTGTATACGTATTTTCACATCTTTAAAAGCTTCAAACATATAAAATAAATACACCACAATGTAGAGCATCTCAATACGAGCGCGACGATACCAAGAATGTCCAAAACGGACGTCGGACGCGCCCTCACGCGCCGTCGGAAGGCGCGGCGCGTGCGCGCGTGTTCAGCCGGTCAAACCGGTCTGAACTGAACAGCCGGTCCGACCGGTTGACCGGTCCAACCGGTCAACGGTCAACGGACGGGTTTGATCCGGGTCGGGTCGGGGCAACTATCCGGTCGGGTCGGGTCAGGATCCGGGTCAACCGAATCCGCGCCTCGCTGACATCATGCTGACGTCAGCCTGCAGTTACCGGCGAACAAACGCGCCGGTTTGGCACGGCCGCGCGTGACCGTCACGCGCCTCCGCGCCTAGGGCGCGTGTAGGCGCGTGAAGGCGCGTCCGGCCTCCTCCGCCGACGATCCGCCCACCATTCTTCTCGTCTCGACGAGTAGATTCCAAATATATAATAAAATTTAACTTTTATCCTACAAAAAATTTCGAAACTGGGCAAAAATCTCTCGGACAAAACTAAAACGGTCCTAATCCGTATGTTTCAGTTCTAATCTATGGCAGGCTCTGATACCAAATGTAGGCCACGAAAATGGCACGCCCAGGATCACCATAATTAGAAACCGAAACACGATAATGGAGAAATTGTGGATTCGTGTACCTGGTTTGGAATCCATCGAACTTGACGCGGAATTTGCGACGGTTTCCGAACACGAACTCAAATGCTTCTCCCCTATCCCTTCGTTAGAACACTGGCCTAATGAGATTGCCACTCACGAGAAGAAAGTTCTCTAAATCCGTATGCTGAGTCAAATCACGCATCATCGCAAGCAGTGGAGTGACTTGAGCTCTATTTATGTAGTCTTCGACCACGGCCCTCTCATTACGGGCCGGGCCGTACTCTACCACACTAGCTCCCCCATATTAGACTTATTAAGAACCCATATATCTTACCTTTATTAGACCAAACTAATTCGGTTAATTTCAATTAATGAAGCCCACATTAGGAAATTCTGACACAGACTTGAGAAAATCCCATATCTCCTTTGCCGTCTTGAGAGACATAATTCGAGAAAAAATGGTGGCTGAAACTGCGGCAAACAAGCAAGCTTTGGCCTTTGACTTCTTTGTCTTCTTCTCCTTATGAGCTTTGATCTGAGCCATGGTTGGATTGGCAGGAAGTGCAGGGATTTCATAATCTTCTTCCACTGCTTCCCAAAGATCCAAAGCATCCAGGTATGTCTCCATGCGTACTGCCCATATCTGGTAGTTATCTCCATCGAATACTGGTGGAGCAATTGAAGAGAGACCAGCTTCGGCGTCCATGGCTTGTCAAACTCACACAGGTCCCTTAAGAAGAGAGCTCTGATACCAATTGTTGGTTTTTTAGTTGAGAGAGGAAAGACAACAGACTTGAGAAAAACGTATGGAAGGAAAGACAACTTTTATAACTTCAGCAAACATTACAATTTAAAGGAAGGAAAAATAACCAACCACTAACAACATGGCCCTACAAATAAGCCACGATCAACAGCACTAATAAAAATAGCTTAACCGCTTCCTAAAGACTAGGACAACCATTTAACAAACTGAAATAACAAAAACATATGCTGTACGTGGACATGTTTCAGTCCTGAAGCATATTCCTAACACAATGAAAACCAGCAATTACCGCCCTGCCCAGCTTCTTGATGAGAGGCACGGGCTTCCTCTTGAGACCTCTCCAGAACCCAACTCACACGACATCACAACCAACGAAATGTCAGGGCGAATAGAACTCATCTCCGACTCTGTCTTTCTCTCGAGGCTTGTGGTATTGCAATCGGAAAATGTGTAACTGCGGGCACCTTCTGCGAGCTCGGGCATGGAAGAGCTTGAGGAGCTCATCAGGGGACACCTCCAGGAGAGCATCCAAACCGACGCCCCTGAAGGAGAACCTCTTGAACGTCCCTCTTCTTCAGCTCCCTGAAGAAGAAATCGACATTGTTTCTCCGTGAGCTGGAATCAGAAAGCTCTATCTTGCCAGAGAAGCTCACGGTTGGTGGTGGGCGCAGGGGTTTAACCGTGGAGTGCAGAGAGCACTGGGATCTTCTTTTTTTTTTTTTTTTTTAGACATTGCAATTTGGGACGTGTAACTCTCGTATTTACTCCAACCTCCTTGGGCTCAGGCTCGTAACTCTCGTATTTCCATGCAAAATGTGTTGGAAAATTCAATGCAAAATTTAAGAGTTGGAAAATGTAATACAATATGTAGAGAGGGGACGTGGAATACTTCAATGCGACTTTTACGTGCAAACTGGATCAGAAATTACACGTGAAATTTGACAAATTGTGGACACAAAGGGAAAATAAATCGGGTCAGAGCTCTTGTTGTCTTTCTCCACGATTGTCGTAACAACGTGAGTCGCATTGGTATCTGTTTCCATTTCATCTGGTACTTCGATATCATGTTAAAAAATTCAACTAAATATTCAAGGTTTTGGATTGGACGATCCAAAAGTAACGACGCAAGTATACTATTTAGAATGTTCATACATAATCAATTCTAGGAGATTTTTTTTTTCAAAAAAAGCGGTTTATGGTTTTGCTTCGCATCTCAACTCTTAACCCTAGACCTCTTTGTAGGTTTCTTTAACTATTTTCCTACGAAGTTTTGTTGTAGCATCTATAACTGCCCTTGTTCGGGCGAACAGCCTGGCAAATAGACATCTGCAGGAATTAAGATTGTCATCGTTTTTTTTGGTTTCTTGTCCTTCAAATATCCCTGAATTGTGTCATCTCTTGTTTGTTGATTTTCAATAGGCTTCCAACATCTGATAGAGTCAGAAGACAGGTTCTCAAATTCACTAGTCGGGCGTCACTTGCAACTAGGAAAATCGAATCCAAGGAATCGTTTGAGTGTGACATCTATTCCTTGGTTTGCCGAAGGGTTCTTGAACTGTGTTTTCCTCGAGAGATCCTGGAACTAGGACTCCCGGGTTTTGCCGGGTAAGCTTGAGCTTGAAAGGTGAAGATTTCAGGAATTGTTCAAGCTAGATTGCAAGGAGCATCGCGTCTCAAGTAGGGGTGTCAATGGGTTGGGTCGGGTCGGGCTTTCATGATACCCGACCCGACCCGAAAACAATAGGGTTGTGCTTGACCCGCCCAAACCCGGCCCAAGACCTTGTTCAGCATACACCCCAAGGGCCGGGTCGGGCCGGTCCGGGCCAGGTCGGGTTTCGGGGTTTTTTCTCTTCAAACACACACACACACACACACACACACACCTTTCTCCCACTCTCTCTCCTCCTCCTCTTCGTCTTCTTCACCGTTTCTCTCTCTCTAGTTGCAGACAATTTGCAGAGACCACAGAGAGAGAGAGAGAGATGAATTTGATACAGAGGGACAACAATCTCCAGCGCGTCCATCATCTCCAGCGACCCTTTGTAAGAGCTCTGCACCTCGTTCTCCTCCTTGTCCTCCTCCTACTCCTCCCCCCCTCCCCCCGACAACCGGTTCCCGATGTCGTCGCTGTCCTTCCCGATCGAGGACAACCCCGCCGACGACGAGCCGCTTCGCGCCGGCGCCGCCACGCCCCCTCACCGCCGGAAGAGTCGAGCTCCAGCGGATTGAAGGCCGAGGGTCGGGCAGCGCCAATCGAGAACCCGGGGGGCTCGACCTCGACCCCGCGGCCGCCGTGCAGCGCGACCGACATAGCTGCTGCGATTCGTCTTCTTCACCGTTTCTCTCTCTCTAGTTGCAGACAATTCGCAGAGACGAGAGAGAGAGAGATGAATTCGGGAGGACATGACTGTGTCGGCGGAAGCGGAGAGATCTGAGCAAGCGAGCGAACGAGCTCGCTCCAGCGAGACGAGCGAGGAGGAACGAGCTACGACGAGGCGCCGTGGATCTCCGAACAGAGTTTCATGCGAGAGAGCAAGCTCCGGCGAGACGAAAACCAGGCGACAGATGCGGAGATCGGTGTCGGAAAATCGAAGGATCGCCGACGAAATGTGCGCAGAAAGTGAGAGAGAGGAGAGAGAAGGGGAGAGACGAGAGAGAGAGAGGGAGGTGTGGGCCGGCCCAGAGTGTTAATGGGTCGGCCCGACCCTACCCCAACCCTAATGAAATCCCAAATTTTAGGGCCATATTCGAATAATATTAAGACTCGACCCCAAAATAACCCAAATTTTAGGGTCGGGCCGGGCCGGGCCGGCGCGGGTTTCATTGACACCCCTAGTCTAAAGTACAATCGTCTCATGCGTTTTCCCTTATTCTCCACTTGGGACATTGCAATATGAAATCAAGCCGTATGGGCTTACGGCAAGATTTGGTCCGCCTACATTCGATAGGCCGAAATAAAATTTTAACTTATCTAACAGCGAAACATTTGATAGCACGTCTAGCAACCATGCTATGGGAGTTGCACAGGGGCACGATTGATCAAGCAGATTGCAGTCGAGTAGGACGACAACGGTATATTTACAGCACAACACCAATTCTTCCAGATAAACCAAGATGACATTCGTCTACCATTATCTTTCGGACTGTGAGTGAAGTGCCATCAATATGGCAGTGATGGCACCACCAGAGTGCCTCCCACATAAAATAGCGCTACCCTAAGTTCTTATTATATCCCATAAGTCCAATACTCTGTCATGGCTAACCCGAAAACTTAAAAGAGCCTGATATTCTTCAAACTATGTCGTTCGACGGAATGGCTTGATTTTTCCAGTAAAACAAGCCAATATCACCATTCACCACCTACAAGGAGTTCTCCGGAAACTCGACCACATATTTCTGTACTGCCGAGGGTTCCTATGTCAATGCAAGAGTGGCAGAAGGGAGAGTTTCTGCTCAGATGTGAAAAATAACACATAAGAAAGGAAATTCATGCAGATATACAACTTATCGAACTTATATAGTAATTTCACAGAGAGAAAATGAACCATGGAGAAGATACAACTACTACTTACAGCCCAAAAACCTTTCAGTACTCGTACCTCTTGAGATAGATTCCTCTGGCTACCGTTTACCCCTTTATCTTTCAGGTGGATGTACTTGCAAAGATCTCTCCCTGGCAAAGTTTCAAAACTTAATGTCAAGATCAAGAATTAGCTATCAAATAAAAAATTTGAAAGGATAAATCAATGATGTTAATGGTATATTAAGAAAGATCAATCTTATGAATCAAGGTCGAAGCGATTGAGAATCAAAATAACAACAACCTACCCAAAAGAATCACGTCTCCTGAGGCAAGAACATAGCTTCAGTTACCAGTTCAAAAAAACTGGATGCATCTAAATTTCAAGACATTGTCCTTATTTACAAAAATTATAGCAGCAAAGTAGGCCTGAAATCCATTAACATTTCAAGTGTTCAGCTCAGCTTGACTAGAATTGTCCAAACTAAAGGATGCAAGCACATTTTTTCCTACACGGTCCTGTTATTCACCTCTAAAAGAGCTACATTACCTCCCTTTTTTCCGCAATGTTCTCCTAGTAAGCAAAGCCTCATACACAGTGATTACATGTCTGTTATACACTTAGTCCTTTGATAAGAGAGCTTCCCTGAAGAAAATATTATGGAACAACAATGCTCCTCTCTCTTCAATATTAAAAATCTCACTTATAAATCCCAGTAGCATCAATTCAATGTAAAATCATTATAATGCAATCAATGTAAAATCTCACTACATGATAGTTGCCATTTCAACAGTTCAAAGATATTTTCCCAAGAGACCTGTAGCAGGTAATAATCAAAGTGCTAAGCAGTATCGGCTCCATGTATTATAAAAAAAAGAAAGAAAGCAGTATCAGCTCATATCACAACAGCATGACTATCTGAAGCAGGAAACATCTGAGACTGTACATTTAGTATGCCAAAAAAAGAGCCACACACAAAAAGGTTACAGGAACAGTAGGTCAATCTATCTGCTGAATATTATGAGGCAGCAGACTACATGATTAACAAAGTAAAGTCAAATAATTCAATTAGCAAAGAAGTAAGACCCATATCAAGTTTTACAGTGTGCATAAGCCAATTGAGGAAACTAAAAAAACAGAATCAGGAATCTAATATAGCACATTGTCCCATGCTTCTTGAGCAAGCTGTACTTGCAGGCATGAAGATAGAAAAAAAAGTTTTTCAAGTTCTTAAATAAAAAAATCCTCTGCACCAATCATCAGGTAGGGTTTAAATCAGAAGAAAAAGGAGATACAAAAAGAAAACATTTTTAAAGCAAGACCATCATTCAAGAAATTAACATTCTACAATTTTCAACGTACATCTGATTGTTTTACATATGACTATATGCATTCAAACACAAAGCTTTAAAGTGTTATTTACAATTTCCTGGCATAATGCTTTTTAGTTATGTGCACAAGCTTTAAAAATACTGAAGACATGTTTAAATCAGCGACATTCTTCAACAAAGACATTTTGGAACACAGCGGAAATCAAAAGAATCAAATGCAAAAGTAATGTCACGGACAGCAATTCACAAAGAACTAATCCACAAGGAAAGCTATGCATTTCAAATACACCCCACTATCTTTTATCTTGACTTTCATGTCAAGTCACTGCCTGCAAATCCTCAACATTATATCAGAAAAGAAAGAAAAAACTTGTCATATTAAAAGACAATGCCTTTTGAGAATTGGTAAACTAAAAAGGTTCTGCATGTGCAAAACCCAGGACTCCTATTTATGAATAAAAAGCTAAGAGTATAGTTTGATTCAACAGTTTCACTAAGAATCCAAAGGCAACATCCACTGGCGTTTTTAACAGTTTTGGACGCAAGAACCCACTAATATGATTCTATGCTGCAAAAGCTATTTGGCATTTCGATGGCACATTTCTATTGTCTATGATACTCACCATGCTGCATAAGGATTTCAACATATTGTTCTGGCTATCGGCTTTTCCATTATGAGGTTGCGATCTGTAGATTGGTTGTCTTATGTGGAACATTAAGTCACCTCTGCCTCTGCAACCAGTCATCTCCAAATTTGCACATTGATTTTGCTCAAAGTCAAACCCAAAGCTGTGACATCACATGGGTAAAATCATAATAGAAGTGAGACCTATGCACAATCTTGGTTACTAAAATTTACAAAGACTTCTGCACATCAGACGTCGTAGTTGCTGTCTACCACAGCTGATACAGCTGACATCCATGCTCGTAACCCCTGTTGAGCATCCTTCTTTGCCAACACTTCCAGTTTGCCAACAGCGTGCTTTGAAACTCCATATTTCATTAGAACGTGTCTAAGTGATCTAAATGTAGAATCATCAGGCTGAATTGCAGCTTCCATCATTTCCCTGAAGGTTCCAACCATGTCCTTAACCCTTCCATCTAGCACGTACAGTCCAAGCACATTGTTATAACTTAACTGATCTGTTAGGAGTCCTGATTCTCTCATCTGATTTGCAATTTGTAAGGCCTTATCTAATCTTCCTATTCTCTTGTACATGCATAACATCATTGCATATGTAAACTCATTGGCATCCCCCCTGTGCTTCATTCTGTCAAAGATCTGTTCGGCTTGTTCAACCATAGATCTCTCACTGTACAGATCAATCATACAATTCGACGAGAAAAAATCAGGACCTACCTCTGACAACTGAAGCATTCTGTATGTTTCTTCCGCTTCTCTCAATAAACCAACTTTGGTATAGAGTTTGATCAGGGAGTTGTATATTACATTATTTCCTGTCAAGCCAGATTCTTTCATAGCATTGACATAACCACGAGCTTCCTGAACACTTCCGGCATCAGCACAAGCGTTTATTAGGACACCATACACAACAACATCAGGTAGTATATTACACTGAATCATCTCCCTGTAAAGTCCCTCTGCCATTTCTAACTGCCCTACCTTCACAAAACTTGAGATCAAAGCACAATAGGGGATGCAATCCTGTACTAAACCCATATCCTGCATCTTCCTCAAATAGGGTAATCCTCTGTATGGAAAATCAGCAGCAGCTAAGATTTGTATAATGGAACTGTAGCTACATTTGTCGGGAGATATCCCCTGGCCTTCCATGCTATAAAAAATTTGACATGCTTTATCATAATTATTTGCTATCCCATAAGCTTTAATCATCACATTGTACTCAAGAACTGTCTGCCGCCTCTGCTCTTGGCAGCATAGGAAAACTCTCTCAGCTTCAGAAATATAACCACGCTCCCCATATGCATCGATATTGGCTGAATAACACTCGGAACTCATATTCCCTTCAAGATGGAATCGCCTGAACCATAACCGTGATTTTTCGAGCATCCTAGCTTCTATGTACATCCGAAGAAGTGCTGATTGTGTGTATTCATCAATCACCATATCCCTTTCATCCATTTCACATACAAGTTCTTCAGCTTCATGAACCATTTGCCTTATGGAATATGCATACAGAAGAGTGCGATAACTCACCAGGTCTGGTTTAAGGCAGGCGTCTTTCATCTTTCTAAAGTAACCTCCAGCCACTCTAACATTGTCGTGCTTAGTATAAATTGAAATCAGTATATTGTAAGTTCTTGTATCTGGTGCACAACCGAGCTCCTCCATCTTCTGCATCAGTGTATCTACTTCTTTTAACTGGCCATTGTTACCATTAATGTGGATCATTGTGTTAAAAGTAACTGTGGTAGGTGTTATCCCTTCTTTAAGCATCTGCAAGAATGTTGCAGATGCTTCTTGAAGTTGCCCAGCTTTACCATAAGTATCAATCAACGTGTTATATGTGTGAGAGCTTAAGCAAACATTCTCTTGAGAAGACAATGGAACTTTCCCTTCTCTCCTTGTCCTATCAACTCTCACCTTTAAAGATTCACCTAAAGACCATCTCCTGAAGAAGTCCTCAGCCTTGTGAAACTCTCCACCCTTCTTGTACATTTGGACGACAATCCCCATTGTCACCTCGTCAGGTTCAATCCCTTGCTTGCTCATTTTTCCAAGCCAAACAAGTGCCACTTCTCTCCGCCCACCTTTGCTGTAAACATCAATAAGCGTACCATATGTCGAGTTGATCGGGACGATCCCTTTCTCATTCATCTCATCCCACAAACGCTCCAAATGCCGCCACTGAAGTGCCTTCCCCAGAATCCTGAGGATGATGTTATAATGAATCACATTCAGTTCAAAACAACCCTTCTTCTTGAACCATCCAAATATCTCCATAGCTCTCTCCCATCGAGTTTGCTCCTTCAAAATTATGGTCCTCTCTTTATTGCTGAGCCGCTCTTCCCACGGCCCGAAAGCCTCATCCAAGTCCTCAATAGCATCTAGAGCTCGCAGAATCGCGGGTAAGCATCCACCATAAGCCGCCCATTTCGTCGAACACTTGGTCTGCACATTCCTCACCACAAAGCTCCCACCACCCGGACTACCTTCGACCCCGACCTCTCTTCCATTCACAGCTCCATCATCACTCCCGCCATTCCTCCTCCGTACCCATTTCGCATTCTTCCTCAAACCCTGCTTCTCCGCTCCGAATTCACCAAGAACCGGACTTCCCCCGTCGCGTTTCTGCTCCCAAACCCAGCCGAAGCTCTTCGTCGCCGTGGGTTTTCCGGGAACCCTGCACTCCCTTTGCCGCTCGACCGGTTTCGCCTTGCCCTGAGGGGCGGCGACCGAGATCGTCACGTCCGGAGGCGTCGTCGGAGCACCGAGGACGTGGAAGCATTTGGCGTCGAGCTTCGCAAGCATGTTTTCCCAGTACCAAGGCAGAACCAAATTCCGACCGAAAAGTTTATTGAAGAGAGTTATCGCTCGTAGATTTTTATTTTCAGGTGGGACCGCGGGAGAATTAGAAATTTACATTTGGGCCCCCTCAAGTTTTAAGATATTACCAATTTGCCGCTTGAAAATCGAATTTGTCGCGGTGTGCTCCTCCGATCTCCGGTTATTAGATAAACAGGTGAGCTCTTCCCTCCTCGACATGCTACCTCAAGTTAGGGAGGCTTAACTCATGATGATGATGGGGGGCACGACGCCACGAAACGAATGCGATATGAAATCGGATGTTTCGAGGTTATGTTAGTCATGATCTTGTCATGCATAATCGTGGATGCCCGTTTGATACGATTGATAAATGGGCCTGGCTCGGGATCGATTAATGTGACCCGAGAACCGACCCGTCCAACCCATTTAAAATAGTTATATTTTTCTACATTTCCCTATTAATGATTGTTATACAGGTGGACATTGACACGAGTCCTTTTATATTTTTATAAGGTACTAAAAAACTATAAAGACTTTGTCAATATTAATTAGAATGAAAAGTGAACTTTTCCATGTATTAAAGAAAAAAGACAAGTTCACGATGTGACTGGATTATTTCCTAAAATAATTTGGTCGGGTTTAAATATTCACATTCAACTTATGCACGCAGCAATTTCGTGAAGAAAGCCATGAAAGTCAATTCCATTTTTTCTCAAAATTGCTATTCTGGGAGTCGGGTCATGCTCGAATTGGATTCATTGTTAAAGTAAGAGGGTATTCCAAAAGACATATATCTTTATATTCCCCTGTCCACCTTGCCTGGAAGGTCTTCCTTTCTTCATTAGCGAGTTCACTACATGCAATTGGTAACATCAATGATAGGGGTAGGAGCTCCTATGCATGAGATTAGGGGTGATCGGTTCTCGGTCCGGTTCGATTCCGAGTGGAACCGGGAACAGGACCGGGAGAACCGGTTCCCAATTTTGGGAACCGTGGACCGCTCACTTAGGATTTAGTTTTTTTTTTGTCAAATACTTAGGGTTTAGTTCACATTTTACTAATTTTTATCAATGAATTTATATCAATGAAGTTCACTTAGAGTTTAGTTCACATTTTACTAATTTTTATCAAAGAATTTATATCAATAAAGTTCACTTAGGATTTAGTTTACATTTTATTAATTTTTTGAAGAAAAAATATGTCGGTCCGGTCCGGTCCGGTTCCCCTTGGGCAACCGGAACTGCATCGCTGACACCGGTTCCACTTTTAGGAACCGGGAACCGGACCGGCACCCCTTAGAACCGCCCAAATAGTGTCGGTCCGGTCCGGTCCGGGCGGTTCCCGGTTCTGGTGGTTCCGTTTGCACACCCCTACATGAGATTGAGCCAAACCAAAGCGTAAACCCATCGATCATGCAAAAAGTAATTTTCACCTTATAGATGCAACTTCCGCTAGATGCCAACCGCTGCCGTCACAGCTAAAGCCTCGGCCACCATCGGAAGCAGCAGCAATGGGCGATGATGTATGAGCAGCACGTATCTATGTATGAAAATCAACCGAATTGAAATTTCAAGTAACCTTATCGATATTATTTTACATAGCAAAGACGACCTCTTTTTTTTTATCTCAATTATTTTTCCATCCAAAATTACTTATTTTACAAATATTGAATCCATGTGCAAATACGTAAGTTAATAATAGTTCTTTACAATCACTCATATGCTTTGATATTAAAATTTGAATCCTTTCTATCTAACAACAACATTCCTAGATCTTAGGTCTTGAAATATTCCTATCTTTCCACATATTACCATATGTTTTCTTCGTAAAATGAGTGTTTTTATCAATAATTTTTTCTGATCATTTAATAATTCAATTATTTAGTAGTAAAACAAATTTGGTTAATCTTTCAAATGTCAATTCTTTGTATACATGCTTTTAATCGGTTTTTCAGTAGTAAGAGTGTCTATCAAACTAAGTAAAACGTGAGATGTCGACAAGTTCTTCAATAAAGGCTTTCATTAGTTCTCTGAATACAACTCTCATTCCTTCTTGTCATGAAAGTAGCGCACAAACTAATGGATCTTGAAAATTAAGTCTAGCGTGAGAAGAAGAAATTATCAGAGAAATCGGCAAAGAACAACAAAGACACCAGAAATTTACATGGTTCGTTTCGAGTGTTAATATCTACTTTACCGGAAGAGCCAGCCGCCAAAAAATTCACTATGAATCTGGAGAATATAGAGTTCATAATTGCTCAATCTCTTGAGTTTTTCCCAACCCTAAATTGCACCCAAGACAAACTTACAAGTGTCATCTCCTAATCTTTCACAAAGTACTCACTAACAAAATTCACAAGAGAAAGTCCCATCTCTCATCTTGTTTTGCTTTAGTGTGATAACCTAGCAAGGGTGTGCAAAGGAGCCGAAAACCATCAGGAACTAGACTTGACGGGCTCGGAACCGGCAGTTCCCATGGAGACCGGTCCGGTTTTCAGTTCCAATTTATTGGAACCAATGAGTACCGGTCTAGTTCCTGGTTCCAAGCATGGAACTACCCACTCGCAGACAGGTATGTGTGTGTGTGTGTGTGTGTGTATATTTAAAAAAATGGGAGCATTCATCTTAAAATCATGGTATCATTTCATGTCAAATGATAAGCAAGAAATTGAACCAAATGTTCAAATGGGAGCATTCATCCTAAAATCATAATATCATTTCGTGTTTGATAGCAAGACCCTCATGTAAATTTCTTTATTATTCTTACATTTTCCCTTGCAAAGAAGTACTCACATAGAATCTAGGTTCGCCATAATATTAATTGATGAATGCAATTTTGTAGGAATTGGGGATCAATTCTATAGACCCACTCGGGAACCGGAACCGGATCGGACCTGCGGTTTGGTTCCCGGGTAGATCCATAAAACTAATAGGTAGTTCTCGATTTTAATTTTTCGGAATCGGTCTTTGGTGGGCGATTTCCGATTTCAGGTTGGGAATCGAACCGCCCACTCGAACTATGCTCACCCCTACCTAGTAGAATTCCATCTCTTATATACACAATATTGTATATAAAGTAGGAAACTCATATAAGGAAACCTTATCAACTAGAAAGCCCACTCAAACTAAAAAAAATATTTGTATGGGCTTTTCTTCACCGGCTCGACCCTTTTTAAGGAAACAGGGAGGAACTTACACCTGGACGATGCCATCTATAAATATATATCTCAGTCACAAAGGATACATCAGGCAGCCAACGGATATAGTCTGACTAAATGTTTTTTCTTTCTTCCATTAATTAAGTCAACCTCTTCGGAATTTTAGACAGATGTTTCTTTTGCAACAAACTAACACATATTCTATGTCGAATAGCGATGCCTTAACCCCCGGTCCGCTCATCCAACCGGCGCCGTCTTAAAGCCGACGCACCATTCCGGATCGCTATCCGAGAAAGCTGGGGATGTTTTATAATGAATCTCGCACGAAAGTGATCCATGTCGTCTTTGTTGATTTATAGTACGAGCTTTCAGCAGATAACTATGTCCGGAATTGAAACTCGAAACATATGTTTGTGACTCCTCCTTGTTCCTTTAAAACACGACAAGAATCGTTCTCCTCTCCCATCTCTTCGGTACTTAGCCAACGGTACGTGAGGCTTATAAATAGGGAAGTTGAGTATCATTTTGCTTCACATCCGACTCCTGCAAAGTGCTAACTTAAGCAGAGTTTTTCATCATCTTCCTATAAAAAGGAAGTTCTAGATATGGCGAGGAACACTCTCCTTTGTTGCATCCTCGCCGTCGCATGCACCCTTGCGGTGGCCTCTGATCCCGCGCCGTTGCAAGATTTCTGTGTTGCAGATCCCAATAGCCAAGGTTAGCACCATCTCTACCATATTCTCGTTCTACATCTGCTTAATTTTTGTACGTTTGATTTACGAAAACTGGTTTATTAAGGAATCTGGCCAGGTTGAACAGGGTATTTTAAACTTATAACAAGAGAAAAAGTTAACTATTAAAAGAAGTGTGAATCATGTTCAAGCACGGATGTCTGAACTAATGGTATGAATAATTGTTAAATAGTTCTAGTTATCTTCTGGACATGTTTACTGACGTTTTCTTATATTTATTCTTATTTTTTTGTTTGTGAGCAGTACTGGTTAATGGTGTTGCTTGCTTGGACCCCAAGCTTGTGACCGCCGACAATTTCTCTTTGTCCGGGCTCGACATGCCAGGCAATGTGTTGAACCCGCAAGGCTCGGCGATTATGCCGGCCACAGTTGGACAGATACCCGGGCTCAACACTCTCGGCATCTCCTTGGTAAGGATTGACTATGCCCCATGGGGTGTCGTCTCACTGCACACACACCCCCGAGCCTCCGAGATTTTGGTGGTCATTGAAGGGACGCTGCTCGTCGGCTTCGTCACATCGAACCCCAACAACAAGCTGATCACCAAGGTTCTCGAGAAGGGTGACGTGTTCGTGTTCCCCGAGGGACTCATTCACTTCCAACAGAATGTGGGCTACGGGAACGCCTTCTCGTTCTCCAGCCTCAGCAGCCAGAACCCGGGTGTGGTTCTGGTTCCAGATACCGTCTTCGGGTCGACTCCGCTCATCGCCACTGATGTTCTCGCCAAGGCTTTCCAGGTGGATAAGGCCATAGTTGAGCAGATCGAAGCGAAATTCTAGTGAATGATTTATGTTCTTGTGTTTAGTTTGCTTGGAGAAGATGTGACAAAAATTGTTGGCTTTTATATATATATTGTGTGTCTCTGGTTAATTAAGAAGATATACTTGTATGTTTTTCAGTGTCCGCATCAATTCATATTATTGGTTCGAGTGGCTTGTCTTAGTTCGTTTTCTAAGGTTCTGATGCTGTGCCCATAGTGTAGAATGTCTGCTTAAACATGGGACACTTGAATATATGAAGAGGCATGTTAGGGATGCTAGGACTTCTTCCTAAGATTAGTGTAATATGTTATTTGTCGCGGTATAATGATCAAAGATTCATGC